ACAATTTTAAAAATTTTATTTTTCTTTTATGTGTATGTGTGTATTGCCTGCATGTAGGTCAGTGCACCCGTGTCGTGCAATGCCGGTGGAGGTCAGAAGAGGCTGTCGGATCCCCTGGGACTGGAGTTACAGACAGTCGTTTGGCTGCCATGTGGGTGCTGGGATTCAAACCCAGGTCTTCTGCGAGAACAGCCAGTGTTCTTAACCGCTGAGCCGTCTCCCCAGCCCCTATCTAAAAATTTTTTAATGAAAAAATGAATTATTGGGTTGATGAAGGTGCTTGCTGCCAAGCCTGACAACCCAGGAGTTCCATTCCCAGATCCCATATGGTAAAAGGAGAAAACTGATTCCCACAAGTAGTCTTCTGGCCTCCTGATGCCGTGTGGCATGGTACCACAATAAATGTAAAAAAAAAAAAAGGGGGGCGGGGAGCTGGAGAGATGGCTCAGCGGTTAAGAGCACTGACAGCTGTTGCAGAGGACCTGGGTTCAATTCCCAGCACCCACATGGCAGCTATGAACTGTCCTTAACTCCAGTTCCAGGGGGATCTGAAGTTCTTCTGACTTCCACAGCATTGCATGACATGGGTGCACTCACGTGGGACATGCAGGCAATACACTCATACACATAAAATAAATAATATTTTTTTAATGTAAAAAAAAATTGGGGACTTGAGAGATGGCTCAGCAGTTAAGAGCACTGCTTGCTCTAGAAGAGGACAAAGAATTGGTTCCCAGCTCCTACATGACAACTAACAACTGTCTGTAACTCCAGTTCCAGGCATGGTGGCCCACACCTTTAGTGCCAGGACTAAGGAGGGAGAAACAGGCAGATATCTGTGAGATCAAGGCCATCCTGGTCTGCAAATCAAGTTCCAGGCCAGTTGCTGCTAGAGAGAGACCCTGTTTCACCAAACAAACAAATTGTATCAGGTATGGTAGCACATACCTTTAATCTGAGCATTTAGGAGGCACAGGCAGGCAGAGCTTTACTTAGCTAGTTCGAGGTTAGCCAGAGCTACATAGTGAGACCAGAGACCAGACCCGATGGTTTTAAAAAAGTAAAAGAGATGCAGGACACGGTGCACTCACATACATGCAGGCAATTCACTCATACACATTAAAAATAATAAAATATTTTTTAAAAAGTAAAAGAGAAAGCAAATTGATAGGTAACATATTTGTGTCAATTGCAAATCTAGTTGCAAATATATAAAAAAAATTTAGAGCAGTTTCCCAGAAATCTTGAAATGTTTTCAACTTCTACTATAAAATTGAAAGTCAGTGCTATATATTTTTACTGTTTTCAGGACTGTGCTTAGTCAATATGTTAAAATACATAACATTATTTTCCAATAAACACATGTGCACCCACACATGAATGTGAGTGCACATGTACACATACACATGAAAAAGACTGAATTTTCTAAGGGCCAAGGGACTAAACCATTGCCAGTTCCAGAAATTAGCAGTGTTGATGGCAGCATCAGTTACTTTTCAGAAATAGAGCCAAATTTAAAAGATTTCATTATTTATGACTACCAAGTTGTTTGTGATATCAAAAACAAAATTGGAGTGCCAAGTGTGGTAATGCATGCCTTTTTCCCAGTACTTGGCGAGCAGAGGCAGGTGCATCCCTGTGGGATTGAAGCCAGCCTGATCTACATAGTAAGTTACAGGCCATTGGAGGTTACAAGATGTTTTTTAAGCGGGGAAGGGTTGCTGGAGAAATGGCTCAGAGGTTCAGAGCAGTGGCTGCTCTGGCACAGATTTTGGGTTTAGTTCCCAGCACCCACATTGTGGCTAACAAGCACCTGTAACTCCAGTTCCATGGGATGTGGTGCCCTTTTCTGGCTTCCACAGGCATTACACACACATGATGCACTTACATACATGCAGGTAAAACACTCATAAAAAATAATTTCTATTAAAAACCACAAAATTAGGCCAGACATGGTGGCACATGGCCTTTACTCCCAACACTCAGGAGGCAGAGGCAGGAAGATCTCTGTGAGTTCAAGGCCAACCTGGTCAACATAGCGAGTTCCAGGTCATCTGGAGCTATAGGGAGACCCTGTGTCAAAACGATAAAAAACAAAACAAAACAAAAAACCCCCACAAAGCTGGAGCCCGAATTTGACAGTGAAAACTTGCCTTACAGACTGATCATTCCTAGTGAATTTAATGGCTCAGTTAAATGAGTTAGATGTGCCTTTAAGGTGAAAACCAACATCAATAGTTCAAGTAAAACTAAAATTATGGCAACTTATACACGTGTGCAGAGGTCTGAGGATGAAGTCAGCATCTTTCTGGTTAACTATCCCATTTTCTTACTGAGGCAAGGTTTCTTGCTGAACCTGAATGAAGCTCACTGATTTGGCTGGTTAGCCAGCTTGTTCCAGGGATCCTGTCTCACCTCACAAGAGGCAAGTTTACAGTCAGGCTATAATGGCAATCTGGCTTTTATGTGGGTTCTGGGAACTCAAACTCTAGTCCTCACAGTTGTGCAGTAAGTGCTTTATCCACCTAGCCATCTCTCCAGCTCCTAATTTGTTATATATTGATACATACTTAAGATGCTGACCTGTCAGGTGGCTTTCTCTAAATGATCTTTTTTATTTAATATTTTATTTTTATTTTATGTGTATGAGTGTATTGCCTGCATGTATGTGAGTGCACCCGTGTCGTGCAATGTCGCGGAGGTCAGAAGAGGGTTTCGGATTCCCCTGGAACTGGAGTTAAGGACAGTTCGTAGCCGCCATGTGGGTGCTGGGAATTGAACCCAGGTCCTCTGCAAGAGCAGTCAGTGCTCTTAACTGCTGAGCCATCTCTCCAGCCCCCCCACCCCAAGCAGCTCTTCAAGCTGCTCTCACCCAAGTACATGGTAATCTCAGAAAAGGAAGAGGTCAAGAGCAAAAGCTGGCTGTTGTGTAATTTTCCTAAGGAGACTTCAATAAATGGGCACCAGTGACAGACCAGAGAAATTATTCCACCAAACTCTAGGTTGGCGAACCAATTCATGTGAGAGCATACGCAAGTTAAGGGCGCTACACCAGCAATTGCTGACTGCTTGCATCCTCATGCACCCCACTCCCTTCCATGAGGGAATGTCAGTAAGCCCAGTACTGTTCTAATGTCATGCCTGGAGGACAAAGTTTAAGAACATGCTAAACCTTGGGGGGCTTTATTTCAAACATCTCACGGTATTCCATAATCGACTGCTCCAAGCACATCACAAAAACAAAAAGAGAACCAAACAGACAAAACTAACAAAACTGCTCTTGCCCTGTTTTCAGTTTTTTTCAATTACATTTGCCTTGCCTCTGGGCTCTTTTTCCAAGAACTCCAAGAAGGAACAGCAATTGGAATGGTAAGGACCAGACCTTTCTTAGAACCTGAACTAGCTTAGTTTGAAGCCACTCATGCTCCAGCACAAAAAGCACTCACTCTCCACACACACTCAGGTGTACGTGAAAGAGGGTGCTGCTAATACTAACACCTCTTAGTATCCAAGGGAAAGGCCAAGGTCAAGATACCCTGACCTGGAAACTCTAAATCCACCGCACTCTCCTGGGCTTTGGTATGGTGTTGCTCTGAAACACAGAAGTACCTCAGAGAGTTCCTTAGGGAGATCCTTTGAGGCAGCAATCCTATGCATAGTATTGCCTCATTATATCTTGCTAGGATTCTGCCTAAGGACCACTCCAACTCTAAAACCATGTTGTGCTTTGCTGTTTGCAACCCGTATTCTACAACCCAAATATCAGACTCTTGATGATCATCTCTCTGCAGCTGGAGTCCATATGGTTACAAAGCTGGAGGAAAAAGGAAGCATCCGGGAACTCAGGCACGGATTCCAAAACAACCACTGAACATAAAACTGCCACCCAGACACGCACTCAGTCCGCTGATCCTGTCTCTGATAAGCACCAGGCAGATCTGGAGGCCGGGGTTCCCTGAGGAAGATGAAGAGAACCACGATTCATTGCAAGTCAACACAAGCATCCTTTAATGTCTTCAAAGGCACACTGCATATTCCCTGGGAGTCTTCCAGCATACCCCTTTGTCCCCAAACAACCTAGAACTGCAGAAATGAAGGTTTGCCCCTGACACAGTATCAAAGATAAAGCAGCAGTTATGCAGTGTATGACTTCAAATCCCCCGTCGTCACACACCCCACATCACAGGTAATCACAGTCACCCAAAAGATCCTGCATCAAAGTAGGTACACACGATCACCATTTCACACACATACACAGACACGCCCCGCAGGTACCTAGGGTCACCATCACACATACACTCACGCACGCACGCACGCGCCCCCCCCCCCCCACCCCCCACCCGGGAAGGCGCGTGCGCACAGACTTGTCACCAAAGCCAGCCAGCCCCTGAATCTGCCATCAAAGTGGGGACGTGGCCCGGTGGTCTCTGGGAAATGTAGTTCAAGGGTGGAAAGACCCGGCTGTAGAGAAAAGACCGGCCCACCAGCCGCTCGGAGGAACGCTCCTCGGAGACCCCTGGGAGAGCGGGTCGCAGGGACTGCGCAGGCGCGGGCCGCTACTTAGCGGCGGCAGGTGAGACCGTGTGTGCTACGTGAGCGCGCGGGGGCGGGTGACGGTGCGACCTTCCGGGATGCGGAGGAGGAGCTGCGAGCTGGGGGTGGGAATCGAGGAAGGCCGGGTGGGGAGCGGCGCCAGGCCTCGGAGAAGGCCCGGAGCCGGGTCGGTCCGGAGCGCAGCCGGGTGGCTTTGTGCGCCCGTTATGGGCGGGTGGGGGTGGGCACCGTGTTAGACCCATTATTAAAGTGATGAGGATCTGCGAGTTCCAGCGGGAGACGATTGTATTTGAGACTAGGGCTTTGGAGAGTAGACGACATTTCCGGCGAATTCTTGTTACTCTCTTGAGAATGCTACAGCTCTGGGATTGCACCTGACTTGGGGAAACCTATGCGATGGTGACTGAGTGGTGACATCATTCTGCCTGATTTTTGAAGGGTTTGTGTTCACTGTGATGACTGAATGTGGCCCATGGTGGGTCCCAAGCGGAGTGCTGACTTTGTTTAAAATTTCTGGGTGTGCCGGGCGTGGTGGCGCATGTCTTTAATCCCAGCACTCTGGAGGCAGAGGCAGGCGGATCTTTGTGAGTTCAAGGCCAGCTGGGGCTACAGGGAGACCCTGTCTCAAAAAGATCAAAAAAATATTTCTGGATGTTTGCCATTTTATGTGCCTGCAGAATTTGACTTACAGATATAAGTAGATTTTTCTTTTAATAAAGAGAAAATAAAAGAGAGTTGCACTGTGTATTAAGAAGCCTCGTATTGACAGATGGCTAATTTGTTGACGTGGAACACCTTTGAGAAAACAAACTTTTTAAAAGAACCACAAAAAAGGACGGAGTACATAGGACAGTGGTAAAGCACATGCCTAAAGTTTGTAAGGCCGCTATTCGATGTAACACTTTGGAAAAACAAAACAAAAACTCTTTAAGAATAGAAAAAAAAAAAACCCAACTTTCTTCCTCCTGTATGAATTCGTGGAGAAACTGCAGCAATTTCTTCAGGCATTCTTAAGATACTAAAGAATCTGTTAAGGATTTAAAACACAAGGTCAGTCCCATAATAGTGAGTTGATATATTTGTTTTGAGAACACTATGTAGCCCTGTCTGGCCTGGAACTTGCTATGTAGACCAGGCTGGCCTTGAACTCACAGAGATCCAGCCAGCTGCGTTTGCCTCCTAAGTGCTGAGACAACAGGTGTGTCTACCACACCCAGTTCATAATAGTTTTTTAACTAATCAAACTTAAAACTCTTTTTAATGTTTTAATTATTTTTATTTTATGTGTATGAGTGTTTTGCCTGCATGTATGTAAGTTCACCTGTTTCATGCAGTGCACAGAGAAACCAGAAGAGGGCACTGAATCCCTGGAACTGGAGTTACAGACTGCTAGCATGTATGTAAATTATGTATGCATGTATGTAAGTTAGCATGTATATAAGTTCTGTGTCATGCAGTGCACACAGAAACCAGAAGAGGGCATTAGATCCCCTGAAACTGGAGTTACAAACTGTTAGCTGCCACCAAACCTGGGTTCTCTGCAAGAGCAGCTAGTGCTCTTAACCACTGAGCCCTCTCTCCAGCCCCTTGAAACTTTTTTAAAAGCAAAAACCTCCTGTTGGAATCCTGCAGTGTGAAAGAATACATACATGATTTATATCCCCCTTTTCTCTCTAATTCTCCAACCTCTGTTTTGTCTCCTCTTCTACAGGTGAGTAGTTTCCAGCTGAAATGGATTGGAAGCTGGGAGAGAATTGAAAAGTTAAAGGCTAGACCAGGTCAGCAGAACTGGTAGCTCTGTAATGTAGTGTAAGTCTTCTGAGAGAAGCTGACTCTGGACCCTTCTCATGGGTACAGCCCTTTCTCCAGCTGCTGCCTCAGTGTGTGCTCTGGATATGCAGTGGCCCACTTGTTAGGATGGATCTTGTTTGTCCAGTCGGTTCTCTTGCATAAGATCCAAGGCAACCCAAGCAAATGGCACCCTTGGGGTCCTTATCTAGTGCTAAGGTAAGAATTACCTCCCTCTAACTACTTTTCCCTCCCAAATCCTGGAGATACACATTCTTGCTGAGAATTCTCAATACTGTAGTTCTTAGTGGCATCAGGGTGTAAGAGGTCCCTTGCTTATGAGAGAGAAGCATTTTTCTTCCCCCAGGAAAACAATCTAAAAAAGTAATTTATGCACAAATTACTGTGCTGTTAAAAGAGGCTGTTCGATCAGGAGGTCAAGGTCATCCTTGGCTTCATAGTAAGTTTGAGGCTAGTTTGGGCTACATGAAACATTGTGTAAAAAGTAAAGACAGCAGGGTGTACAGGTGTGTGCCTTCAATCTCAGCACTCAGAAGGTAGAGGCAGGCTCATCTCTTATGAGTTCAAAGCCAGCCTGGTGTATATAGCAAATTCCAGGCCACCCAGGGTAACACAGTGAGATCTTGCCTCAAAAACAAAGACCTATGGCCAATCTAGAAGATAAAAATTACCTAATAAAAAATGTAATGAATTATAAAAGCACATTTACAGACAAAAACCTAAAGTTGTTTTTAAACTTAGGAAGCTTAGCCTGAGGCCAGGCATGATGGTCTATGCCTTTAATCCCAGCACTCAGGAAGCAAAGGCAGGTAGATCTCTATGAGTTTGAGGCCAGCCTACTCTACGTAACAAGTCCTGGGGGCCAGCCAGAGTCACATGATGATACTTTGTCTCAAAAAACAAAAAACAAACAAACAAACAAACAAAAAAAAAACAAAAAAAGAAGCTTGCTCCATAATAAGAAAACTAAAAACTACAACCACAATTTATACCATCAGATGGGCCAGCATCCAGAAGTGAGTAGTGCTCCTCAGGATGTGGGTGACAGGTATTTTCATATATCGTTATAAATGGGTTGGCCTTAGTGGGAGCATGGACGTATTTGATAGCTGTAGATTGTTTAGGAGAGAAAAGATG